TTTTTTTTTCAGGACCAGAAAATGGTCTCCAGGCGGCAAATGCTCCTCCTCTAGGCCGAAATAAGTGCATTCTTGCCGGGGTAAGTCGCGACGATTAAAGATGTCCCCTGAGACAATCCAGCATATAATGCCAGGATGCAACATGCTAGCAGGCAGGGGATTCCAGGATCCCAGGAAAAACATCCAAGATCTCTGTCCAGAATAGGGCAGTCCTAGGAACAGCAGGATCTGTGCAGGACCCCTCAAGTCCCAGGATAGACAGCCTGCAGGGGCGAGAGGGTAATTTAAAACGAAAAATTCCTCTCTCTCGCCCATGCAGGTGGTCTTATCCTTCAAGCTTGGGTCTTCTACCATAGGCCTGGGAGCTTGAGGGTCCTGCGCAGTATCTTAGCTGTTCCCAGGGCTGCGCTTTTCTGGACAGAGATCTCTTATGTTGTTCCTGGGATCTGCTGGACCCACTCGCCTAGCTTGGGAGTCACTGAACCTAAGTGCTTCGATTACCACTGGGACCACTGTTACCTTCACCCTCCACATCTTCTCCAGCTCTCCTCTGAGCCCTTGGTATTTCTCAAATGTCTTGTGTTCCATCTTCCTGATTTTGCTGTCATTCGGAAACGCTACATCAATCACTACGGCCGTCTTCTTCTGTTTGTCTACCACCACTATGTCTGGTTGGTTAGCCATCACCATTTTGCCTGTCTGTATCTGGAAGTCTCACAGGATCTTTGCTTGGTCATTCTACACCACCCTTGTGGGTGTGTCCCATTTTGACCTCGGGACTTGCAGGCCATACTCTGCACATGTTTCTGTATACAATGCCGGCCGCTTGTTTATGGCGTTCCATGTATGTTCCAGCTAGCATCTTGCACCACGCTGTTATGTGCTGGATTGTCTCAGGGGCATCTGTACACAGCCTGCACCTGGCGTCTTGCCTGGTGTGATAGACCCCAGCTTCTATGGATCTTGTACTCAGAGCTTGTGCCTGTGCTGTCTTTCAGTCCAGCTTTGTCCAGCCACTGGTAGGATTTCTGGATATCAGCCACCTCCTCCACATACCGTGCAGGGGCCTATCTTACAATGATCCTCCTCTTTCTTGGGTTTCTGCTGCCTGAGGTATTCACTGAGCACGTGGTTGGTTGGGGCCATCTTCCTCATTTTTCATGTATCTTCGCTACCTCATCTTGGACTGTGGTGGTGACACTCACTAGTCCCCGGCCTCCTTCCTTCCGCTTAGCATAAAGCCTCGGGGTGCTGGATTTGGGGTGAAACCCTCCATGCATGGTCGGGAGTTTCCTGGTCTTGATGTCAGTGGCTTCTATCTACTCCTTTGGCCAACTTATTATCCCAGCTGGGTACCTGATCATGGGCAGGGCGTAGGTGTTGATAGCCCGCATCTTGTTCTTACCGTTCAGGTGACTCCTCTTGCCTGACCCTCTGCAGGTACTTGGTGGTTGCAGCATTCCTAGCGGCCTCGTCATGGTTCCCATTCACGTGTGGGACCCCCAGGTAGCTGTCCTCTATGTCTGCAGTGTTACCTTCTGGTAGTTCGATCCCCTCAGATCTGACAGTACCTTCCCTGTCTTCGTTATCATCCAACTAAACTTATCCAGTCCGAACGACATTCCAATGTCATTGCTGTATATTCTGGTGGTGTGGATCAGTGAATCGATATCTCATTCACTCTTGGCATACAGTACAGGAGATGGCTCACAACTGCTTCATTCCGTAGTCGGTATCCGTAGCCAGTCTTATCAATAATCTCGCTGAGGGGGTTCAGGCATTCCAGGATCCAGGTGTGAGGCATTGAGTCATAGGCCTTCTTGTAATCAATCCAGGCATTAAATAGGTTGGTCAGCCTAGTCTTGCAGTCTCGGCTGACTGCTCAGTCTACCAGTAGCTGGTGTTTTGCGCCTCTGGTGTTCTTGCCAATCCCTTTCTGTTCCCCACTCATGTATTGAGCCATTGCCTGTTCATCTTAGCCGCTGTTAGGGTTCAAATATTAAGGAGGGATACAGGAGGAATTCCAAAATAACAACACTGATCCGGCCGGGTGGAGTCAAACGATGATTTTAATGAACACACGTGTGGGAGATGAACACTGTACGCAGACAGCATCGATCTCTCCCTATCAATACACAAGCAGTTGTTTTATACCATCAGGGTTTAATTTTATGACGCCCCTCATGCGTCAAGCAGATACAATACATGCATAAGTTTCAAAACCACAAATGTTCTGTTGACAACTTGTGACACAGTTGAAAAAGAACATTGTCTCCGTCTCCGCGGCAGGTGCTTCCTGTCGCTGCCGGACGCCCGCTTATCGTCTGGAACATCAGCAGCAGTTCTGCAACAAACTGTCACTCATGCAGGCACAATTTTGCAGTCACAAGAAAAATATGTCTGAACTCTCACCTAGACCTTATGGAACTCCAAAGTGTTCAAAATTAAATAAATAAATAGGTCATGATGAAATAAATAACTATGTGAATAAATAAGACACAGATAGGTAATGTGAGAATGATATTGTGAAATAATGGAACACATTTTGAAAAAAATGCTCATTATTGTGAAATATATTGCATTCTGCTATATAAATTTACTTATTATTGTGAAATATTATTTCATGGTCATTATTTTTCACAATAACAGAGATTATTCCTAAGGCATTTTATTTATTTCCAGCCGTTTTTATTCCAAAATGACCTTTTTTCAAAGTCAGTCTTTATTTCAAAATCCCGTTTTTCCCGATGGTCTATGTGGAGTATACCAGGCCCAAGCACACACACACGCAGATCCGTATTGCCAAGGACCACATTTATTGATATTAACACAGCAGACAATATGACGCACAGACTGACAGCTCTCGATCCCAGCTGATATGTGTCTCTTTTCCCTTAGCGCTCCTCCACTCCTATCCGCCTCACTATATAAAGGGAAGTAAAACCACCATCAGTCCAAAATTGCCATCAGCTGTTCTTACCAGCACCGCCCCGTCGAGCTCACTGCACCACTCCTCCCCTGCAGCCGCGCCCCGGACCACACCTCCGCCACACA